TTTGTATACGAACTCTTATATATTGTATATTTGTATTGGTTACCTGGAGGAGGTCTCTACCTGTGATTCCCTCATTCCATTCGGAACTACCAGATTGCTCAGTACCTGGAAGTTCTCTGCATTTACCCCTTTGATCTAAGTGTATCCTATATACGGTGATACCGAAGCGCCAAATTCAGCGATTCGACACCTACGAGGATAAGCCACAAGGTCACACGCCAACTCGACTTGCGGGTTATTTCTGGTGTTAACATCCTAGAAGTTGACCCCCAAGTCCGGGTCTCACTATACGCCCCTTTGTCGGCAGAGTGTTCACCGCGCTTCGCCACAGAGGCCACGGCAACCACGACAACCACGTCGACGACGGGAGTGTGTCCGACAACAGCGACGCCAGCGACAGCGACAGCAACAGCAGCCGAGGCCACGGTTACGACGACAACCACGTCGACGCCTGGAGCGACTCCGATAAAAGCGACGCCAGCAACATCAACGGCAGCCGAGACCACGGTTACGACGAAAACCACGTCGACGACCGGATCGTGTCCGACAACCACGACGCCACCAACATCAACGGCAGCCGAGACCACGGCAACCACGACAACCACATCGACGGCCGGATCGTGTCCGACAATCATGACGCCAGCGACAGCAACGGCGGCGGAGGCCACGGTAACCACGACAACCACGTCGACGACGGGAGTGTGTCCGGTAATAGCGACGCCAGCGACAGCAACGGCGACCGAGGCTACGGTTACGACGGCAACAGCAGACGCATCGACGCACCCGGGTGACCGAGATCGTTAGGAGCTGGAGTGTATGTGTCATGATCTGAGGTAGACGTGTCATGGCCTGGTGAGATCCGCCACGATCTAGCCATAAGGCGAGGACTGCGTTGCAGATCAACCAAGATCCGGTGCTAAGGACAGCTGAACTGCGAAGGTGTAACCAAGGAAGAACAGGTACATAGCTGCAGATAAGAGATCTAGTGGTTGTGAAGGTAGAGGCAGTTGATGTAGAGGATCTAACTATAATTCAGAGTCGAATTTGCATTGTGTTACACAAGCGCCTTCCCGCCCTCAAGATCCGGAACTACATTGGCAGCATCGGGCTCAGTGACGGTTGGGGATAGCAGATCTAATGTTGGTTGTGATACATGGAATGTTATTTGGTCCAGATCATACCACCCAGTGAACGTTCCCTTATAAGTGCAGATCAAGAAGGTTAACCGAATTTACTGCTTGGCCGGGAGTACCTGTCGACCCTCAGCTATCAAGATCCCGCTAAAAGAAGCGGCAAGCACGACAAAAAGGAAATTCAAGGAAACACATCCCCAAGGCTACCTACGGTCAAGATCGCCAGATCCTACAAGCTCAAAGTACTCGCTTTCGATCTGGACCCTACTTCTGACATAGAGTGAAGATCTTTCACTACTACTCCACCCAACCCCCACGTCTCGCCAACCCATTTAAGACTCACCCACTTGAACTACTCTGCATTTACCATAGGAGCAAGATCCTGCCCTACCGACGGGTAAACTAGGTGAACAGGTTCAGCAGATCACAGATCATCAGGGGACCCCCT